TGCCTCGGCCAGTGCTTTTCCTGCCGATTCTCCTAGATTATTATATTTCAGATTCAAATTTGTCAGGGTGGTATTCTTACATAGTGCCTCGGCCAGTGCTTTTCCTGCCGATTCTCCTATATTATTAAAACTCAAATCCAATACTGTCAGGGTAGTATTCTTGCATAGTGCCTCGGCCAATACTTTTCCTGCCGATTCTCCTATTCGATTCTCACTTATATTTAAAACTGTCAGGGTGAAATTCTTGCATAGTGCCTTGGCTAGTGCTTTTCCTGCTGATCCTCCTATTTGATTCCAACTTATATCTAAATTTGTCAGGGTGGTATTTTTGCATAGTGCCTCGACCAGTGCTTTTCCTGCCGATTCTCCTATACGATTCTCACTTATATCTAAATTTGTCAGAGTGATATTCTTGCATACTGCCTCGGCTAGTGCTTTTCCTGCCGATTCTCTTATTTGATTCAAACTTATATCTAAATTTGTCAGAGTGGTATTTTTGCATAGTGCCTTGGCCAGCGCTTTTCCTGACGATTCTCCTATATTATTATATTTCAGATTCAAATTTGTCAGGGTGGTATTCTTACATAGTGCCTCGGCCAGTGCTTTTCCTGACGATTCTCCTATATTATTAAAACTCAAATTTAATACTGTCAGGGTGGTATTCTTGTATAGTGCCTCGGCCAGTGCTTTTCCTACTGATTCTCCTATTCGATTCTCGCTTATATCTAAATTTGTCAGTGTGGTATTTTTGCATAGTGCCTCGGCCAGTGCTTTTCCTGCTGATTCTCCAATTCGATTCCCTCTTATATTTAAAATTTTCAGGGTGGTATTCTTGCATAGTGTTTCGGCCAGTACTTTTCCTGCTGATTCTCCTATTCGATTCTCACTTATATTTAAATTTGTCAGGGTGGTATTCTTGTATAGTGCCTCGGCCAGTGCTTTTCCTGCTAATTCTCCTATTCGATTCTCACTTATATTTAAATTTGTCAGGGTAGTATTCTTGTATAGTGCCTCGGCCAGTGCTTTTCCTGATTCTCCTAGATCATTATTACTTAAATTTAAATTTGTCAGAGTGATATTCTTGCATAGTGTCTCGGCCAGTGCTTTTCCTGCCGATTCTCCTATATTATTAAAACTCAAATCTAATACTGTCAGGGTGGTATTTTTACATAAACCTACAATCAACCCTTTAACTACATTACAGTGTAACCTTTTATTACTTAAGTCTAATTCAGTTACTGTAACATCTCTACAAAGATAATCGATCAAAGCTTCCCCATCACGTAGCATAACTTTACTGGGATTAGGTAAATATGATACCGATTTATCTGGTAATGCAAAAAGTTTAAATATTGAGTGACTTTTTTAAACGTGTTATTAAAAGAAATTGGTAACATAATTACTGTTACTTTTGATTAATTTGGGTTCTAATAATTTATATTAACGTAAGAGTCAAATCGCATTAAATTAATAATTAATAATTAGGTAATAAACTAATTTGAATATAGAGTATAATACCTTCGTATATGGTTGTTTCTTGATAATAGCCTAATTTTCTACGTTTTATTTTGCCTATTACATACAATATCAAGTAAGTTTAATAATAAATATCTATTTATTAAAATATAAAATTAAGACTTACTAGTTTTATCATTTAATAAGAAATCGATAGTGTGCTTTAATGGAGTCAACGAATTTTTACTATAATTTAAACTATCGGCGCTTTTTATAAGTTCGGAACTGGATAAAATATCAGATTAGTAAATTTAGCCTTTAATGATTAATTTTTCAAATGTAAAATGTTCACTTACGTATCATTCATAATATCAAGAGAACAGATAGAAAAAGAATCTATAAAATAGTTTTTATAAAAAGACATCGTAAGTTAATAATAGTAGTTAACTTTGTTTATAAAAAAATTGATAATTACCTAATGATGATTCTGCTCTTGTAAATAAATTTAAGGTATAACTTGTAGTTTCTATGACAGGATCTAATAACTGACTAAATAATTTACGTGAAGAAAGCATAATTCCTTGTTCCTCTGCATATTTCGTGGATTTTATTTCTTGAAGTTTTTTTTCAGCATCGTAGAATGCTTCATTAAATTTCCATTCCCATTCTGAGGAATTTATTATTTTATATATTTCGTTAATTGAAGGCCTCTGTGAAGGATCTTGATGCCAACACTTTTTCATTAAATTAGCCCACGGTTCTGGTGTATCTTCTGTAATTTTAGGACGCAGTCCTCTACATATATCCAACGCAAGATTAGCATCATGAGCTCGCTCATTAAAAGGACGATTCCCTGTTGTTAATTCCCACATAATCATGCCTAAACTATAAATATCAGAGCTAATGAAAATTGTTTTTTATTAAATATCTCCGGCGCAATATAAGGTATAATTCCGTATACACTTGATCCTGGATCCTCATTCGCGGGTCGACTAAATCCCAAATCAGCAATTAATAAATTAGCAATTAATGAATCATTATTTTCATGTATTAATATATTTCCACTGTGTATGTCACGATGTATAATATTATTTTGATGAATCCATTTAATTCCAATAACGAGACTTCTTAGGAAATTTACTTTTGATTTTTTTTTACTTTCTTCCCAGTCCATCCATTTGATATCATTAAAATGCTCGGATAAATATTCACGCAAACTTCCATTTTCCATATAAGACATAACAAATATATAATTTTTTGTTATCGGATGTTGCGATACTCCGTAATAATGAACAAGATTACGCATAGATGAGTTAGGTTGGGTTTCAGTAATATTCTGCAACTACATAAAGAATTACGTATTTTAATAGTCCATTGGTTCACGAATTGAATAAAAAACTTTTTTTACTTTACCTCCTTTATAAATGTCGAGTTGATATTTTGAGAATCTTTAAGGACTTTTAATACTACCGTTATAGGACCTGTTCGATTAAGTTTTCCTTTAGAATAACCCTTCACTCTTCCTTTTCTCCATTTAGCGGTAAATATCATACTAAATCCGCCCTCTGCAAC